TGTTTAATTCTGTTGGATGAATTAAGACTTTAATGAATCCTACTAAATTATTTAAATACTGTTGTTTTTATTCAGCATAAAATTTAAATGCTCTCAAAATGTTTAATAGGTCTAATTTATAAAATCCATTAAAAGATTTCAATTTAAGTGGTTTTTCTTAACATTTAATTGGCTTCCAATAATTAGGTCTGTAGGCTTTCAAGGAGACTGGGATTTATTTTTTAGAGCAAACTTTCCCTGTGTGGTGTCTTGTTCTATGAAAATTGAAATGAATACTCTTACTAAATCATTTATGTTTAATTTTAGATTTTTAAATATTGTACTCTAACATTTAACTCTTGACATATTTAAGGTAAAATTTTACTTTGTGAAATTTCGAGTAAGCCTGTGGAAATACTTTTATAAGGGAAAGAAAGGAGTTACAATGGGGAAAAACTACGTTGATTATTAATCAAATTTGAAGTCTAATTAAAATATGTAACAATACTTAACACTATGCGCAATCAGGTAATATTAATTTCTCTCATGCTAGGCCTACAAAAATGCAAACAGGAAATCTATATATGTTTCTGTCTTTATATGTGTATGTGTGTGTGTAGTTTGTTTTCAATGAATCCTTTTTCTCTGGCAAAAACTTGCTTGAACTAAAGTATCAACTGGTGGTAATACAATGTTAAATGATGGGGATTGGTCTATAAAGCTGACTTCAGATAGAATAGGGTGTTAATACACAAAACATGTGCCACTTAACCACTGGACAGGGCAGGGATCTCAAGCATACTATAAGAGAAAAACTTTGTCATTTCCCTACTCGTAAAAATGAGATTATCAATATTTGCCTTTTAGGGTAGTGATGTGGATTCGATGGAGTGTAACTCTATGACAACAGGGAAATTGTTCATGGCAATATTCATTCACTGCCCACAGCAGTGCCTGGAATGTATTAGGCATAAAGTAGTTGTTACATAAATGAATTAATTATGGACTGCCTTAAGGTACAGCATAGAAAAGAGTTTAAAATTCTCAGAGGTATCAAAAGTATTAACTGGCAGACAGTCAATTTCTGTATTTTCCTCCCTCCTTCCCTATAGTTCATGAAAGTATACATTCTAAGTGTTCCTTACGTATACATTGTAAGATCATAAGAGATTATTTTCTGCCATGAAGCAGTAGCTCTATTCAGTTATTCATTAAACAATTATTGAGGACCTGCTTTGGGCCAGGCATCTAGGTGAGGCACTAAGGAAACAGCCCGCTAGCTAATGGCTGTTGTGGGGCTCACAGATCTACCTCAAGCTTTCTGTGATATGCAGAGTGCTCACTGAATTCTTTTTGATGACCCCCTAGACAGATTGACAAGGCAAAAACTCAGGAGAATCATTAAGGTCCTAGATGTTTTTCTTTCTGAATTATTTTCCTACTTTTTTTTTTTTTAAAAAAGAATGACCTACTGTATTTGTTGTGATTATAAAGATTTTTTTTATCATGTCAAACATTTAATTGCTCAGACACATAAATCCAAATACAATTAAATAACTCTGAATTGTACATTATAGAAATTGAGATATCTATATATTTTATCCCAAATAAAATCATTTTTTATAAACCTAATGCAGTTGGACACTTACTTTGTTTTAAAGTTTATTTAAATATACATACTGTTAGTGCATTAAAACTAACAGTGCTTTTAAAACTTTACAGTGTCCGTCTTCAAGTTTCACTAAATTGTAATCTAAATTTTCCCATTCCTTGGCCACCTGATACTCTTAAATTCCACAAAAAGTAAATTTACTGGCAAAGCCAAGAACATGAATGCACCTTTTCAATCAAAGCAGCCTACTGACAGCAGGGAGAATCCAGCCCAAAATGTATGGTCATTTTTAAACGTAGAAAAACAGACTGACTCAAAGGGAACCCAGCCAGCTAGGGCCAAGAGTTTGGTTATTTAAACAGGCAGAAGAGAAGAGAGAATATTAGCAGAGATTTTGTAAATTGAAGTAGAGGTTTATGAGTCTTAATCAGAATGATTTTATTTTTGCAAAGAGCAATTTTTAAATATTATAAGGATATTACCTTGAAAGCTCAGTAACTTTTTTTGCTAAGTTTAGTTTGCCTTTACCAAGGGGGAAATGTGGTTGGTTGTGTTTGAATTTTAATTACAAAGTATCAAATTTTCTTTTGAACAGTTATATAACTGTGTGTGAGCTTCACCTTTTTTTTTTCTTTAAACTTCAAGGATTTAACCAAATTACCAGCTTGAGTATTTGGATATCTGGGCAGAAATACATCAGAGAAATAATCTTAATCCTTTTGGTTCCAAATCTGGGCATAACTTCTGGAAAATGAATCTGAGCATTGGGCAGACAATGGGAAAACATATAGCACAAATACAGGAAATGTTTGCCAGCATCAAAAGAGATGTTTCAATTTCCAACTGGAACACACCATTTAGTCAGCTAACCAATATTTCTTGAGTACTTGCTAGGTGCCAGGTATTATACCTGGCACTATAGAAGAAAACAGACACCTCCACCCTTACAGCATCAAATAGTCTGTGAGTTCCAAGACAGCAGAAGTCTGGGGGTTCTGTATGTATCTGTGTTCTTTGAGCAGACAGCAGTCCCCAAATTCTAATGGGAAGCTTGAGAACACTTAAGCATTCAGATGTATCATGATTCAGAACTATGGAAGGCCAATTTTGAAAGATTAGGCAGCCGGGGAGAAGTCATCTTCCTAGTAAACAGTTTAAAACTGGTCAATAAAAGTAATGCAAATGTGATTAGATCTTTTCAGCAGCTTAATTCTCTCTTTTCAGGTCATAATCAGCCTTTTTTTTTTTTTTAAATCAGCATTTTGTAGCATCTCTCTGTCCCTCCTCTGAAATTCTAAAAGACATTGGCGAGTGCCATGGATTTTACACTGTGTGTGTGTGTTAGGGGAGGTAGCTAACTCACAGCAAAAACAAAGATCCCTTTGAAATAGTCTGTTCCCCATTCAGGAATGAAAGCTTTAATCCTGCCTGCTGCTAGGAGTGCTGCTGGCAGACAGTCCTCAGGTGTCAGCCCCGTTTGAAGGTACACCAGCCAAAGAGCTCCTTTGCTCAATGTTGTGTCCCTGCTCGGAGCAGCCCGTTTTTGAGACCTGATTGATGTGAATGTGTAAAGGCTCAGCTGTCCCACAATTCCGAAGGGCCATCCCAGCACCAGAGCTCCCCATGGGGTTGGCTGAGTCTTCGTTGAGACTACATCTCAACTCAGCTTCGCTCTCTTCTCCACCCTGTTTCCTAATAGCACTTCCTAATAAATTAACTGCATGCTGAGCTGCAACTCGGAGCCTGCTTCCCAAGGAGCCCCCTCCAACATACAGCAGCCTGGAAGGGGTCAGGGATTTGTAAAGAGACAGAGAACAGAGGCCTTTTTCATAAATAGCTTTAATAATAGTATCTTTGCATTTCCTCCTATCAGGGACTGATGGGATATAGGAGGCTGTGGCAGATAAACCAGAGCTGCTTCCAGGGTCTAGGCTTAGGAGCAGGGCCATGAAAGGGCTCCACCACATCAAATCTAAGTCTGTGGGTTGAAAGCACTACGTGGGAGTCAGATTTGGATTCAAATCATGTCTGACTTTTGGATGAATAATTTAAATACTTTAAACCTCAATTTTCTCATCTGTAAAATAGAAATAATAAAAGTGACTTCACATATTTGTGGTGGTGTCAGGTTTTGGGGTTGGTAATCTTGTCTGTTCTCAGTTCTTGGTGTGCTCTTGGCCAGAGAATGACCAGACACACCAAAAGCAAGGCAAGTGTAAAACAAGGCTTATTAAGGAGAGAAAGATAGGATTACAGAGCAAGAGCAAGATATAGCTTTACAGAGTAAGAGCAAGATACATTCACCACATGATGGGGAATGGCCCTTCTGTAACGAAAAAGGCCTTGGTTATGGTCTGGGTCTTGTTTTATAGTGTCTGGATTGGGCCCTCCTTGTGGTTTAGATGTTACCATGAACCACTTTGGTGGACAGTTGGGAGTTATATGACCTGAGTCTCACTGAGCATTCGGATTTCCCATGAGCCTCCCTGAAATCCCATTGGTTGTGTGTGTGTGTGTAGGGGGGGATGAACTGCAATGCAGATTTAAGCTAATGACAGGATAATTAGCCTTAGGTTGTCCCAGGTCACCTTCTTCATTCTTCTGCAGTTGGCGTACTAAGTTCTGATTGGCAGATTTGTAGGGCCTTCCTCACCCAGATGAAGCAATTGCTCTGGGTAGTACTAAGGCAGGGCAGCACCAAGATGGGGCTGCCCTTGTCCTTCTTCCCAGGGGGAGCAATTGTTTGAGGCAGCACCAAGGCAAGGCACCCAATTTTTGTCCCTAGAAGAGTCTCGCAGGTCCCTTGCTATCGACTTAATGGTATGATTAAATAGTCATTGCTGTGACATAATTAAGTATTCAGATTTATCTTCATTATCATTATTATTTGATGCAAGTGTGTTTAGAGCCTGTTTCACACAGGGCAGAGCTTGCAGGAGGCATCAACCTGTTCAGCTCTCTGGGATCTGAGAATACAAGGGTAGAACCCAAATATAAGAATATATGAGTAGTGGCTCCCATCCTGGGATCCTGTTAGACTTTGACTCCTATTCTGTCTCCTTGGAATTAAATGTGGCTACTAAAGCCAAATCACCATGGCCTGGATGAAAATGTCCTACAACTGGGAAGAGTCCTTTGTGTGGGAATGTGTCACTGGGAGGTAAGCCCAGGAGAATATGGGCCTGCAAACCTGCTTTCAAGTTGAAAAAGGTTTTTTTGTTTTTTTTGTGGGTTTTTTTGGCATCATCATAACTTATTGCAATCTCCAGCTCCTGGGCTTCAGCTACCTCCTGCCTCAGCCTCCTATGTAGCTGGGACTATGGATGTATGCCACCACACCTGGCAAATTTTTGTATTTTTTGTAGAGAAGGGATCTTGCTATTGCTCAGGCTGGTCTTAAACTCCTGACCTCAAGCGCTCCTCCTGCCTCAGCCTCCCAAAGTGCTAGGATTATAGGAGTGAGCCACTGCACCTAGCCTTAAAGAACTATTTCTTCATTGTCATCTTAAGCAAGAGTGGAGACTTTGTGGGGTCTGAAAGGTTTCTAAAACAGGAGAGCTGAGCAGAGGATCCTAGAGACGGAGCTTCTGCTGTGCTTGACAGGTCTGGAGGGCAGGCTGAGGGAGTCCATGACCTTTGTATCAAAAATCAAGAAACCTTGTGGAAAAGAATGTCTCAGGAGATTAGAGAGTAGTCAGTTAAGAAATCTGGTCCAAGGACCAGTAATGGAAGGTCAGCTGATTTCAACAGAGCATTATCATGTGGTGCTTCTCAGACTTTTCCAAGGATAGGTTCATGATCTACGGAGGAGAAGAAATAGAAGGAAACCACATCAAGCATATAATTTCTTCTGTTTCCTTTATTAAACAGCCATCATCTATGTGATTTTTACATTCTTCTCTATATGTCTTAATCACTTACTGTTTAAATGGTTTACCTCTTTCAACTTGCCTTCAAATCTAGTAAAATTGAGGCCCCAGAAAGTTTTGCCATCTATACCTCCTGGTCTCTCCTCAACACATCATCTTGGATTCTTAGGGGAGCAAATGCCCCAGTTGGAAGTGCACAGACTTAGTTCATGCCCTTACTCCCTGTTCTAATTTTAGTTCCTGTGAACTTATGTTCAAGTTAGGGAAATGGGACTCATTAGTCATATAAAAGAGCTGTTTCATCAAAGTGTCCATTTCTTAAACTGAATTCATGAGAGCTGGAGGGCCAATAGCCCTGCCATATTGGTGCAAGTGAAGTGTCATATTGGCACGAGAAGTTCTACACCACAGGATAGAGAGACGGCAGAAAGTGGTGATGGCAATGCAGAATGTCTGGAAGCACATATAAGACACTCTGGGAAACTCCCCTTTTATAAGGAGTAATTCAGAAGGGATTTGGAGCTAGAATTTACATTATTCTATATATAATGAGGGTGAACCAGAGACAATGTTTTGTTAGCTATTATGGTGACGCTGATGTGCCTGCCCCATCCCCAGGATATTATGGCTTAAGCACAAAGCATCCTCAAGTTCTTGGATGCCCCCAATTTGTTGCAGTGGAAACTGTTTAGGATTCTCTATTTGACATATTCACAAATTCAATTTAGGAAGAAAGTTTGCTGACCAGTCAAAAATCTCAATGTGAATGTCTTTAAAATCAATTTTTCCATTCTTAGGTAAGCCCACTATACATAGCAGCAACTAAATATTGAGATATACAAGGGCAGTAACAGGCCAGTGTAATGGCATGGTTTCTACTTGCTGTTTTGGGGGATTCTGAGAGCAGGGAAGGGATCTTAAAGAGGGTGGCTTCCCAAGCCCTTCTCCCCACATCCTAGTTCTCACCATCCTTGTCTCACAGCTGACAGTGAGAGGGCCAGACTTTATAAGTGTAAATTCTTGGGCTTTTACAGACTTTTTTGCCTCTATCACCCTTCTCTCAGATCGGCTATGGTAGGGATCTAGTTACAATGAAATAATTGCAAAAGAAGAGGGGGAAAATGGCAATATTCCTAAAAGAATGCAACAGTCAAATTTGACCTAGAATATATGCAAATAATATATATCATATCCAGAGCTACTTGTGACTTATTACTATTAATAATCGACACATGAAAATTTGCAAATGTTTCATAAATTAGAGTCAATGGCATCCCTATAATAATGTCACTTGAGCTCACGTGATTGTGATATCCTTTTCTATGCAAAAGAGAAATGAATAAGGTTCCAGCCCATCCTCCAGGAAATGAACAAAGGGTATGAGACACCATATCCATCATCCATTGATTATTGAGCAGAAAAATGTTTGAGAACTCCTAGGACTGAATGAGGAGGTAGGCATCATGATTTTCTTCTAGTTTGGTCCTGGGTCTTGGATGATCCAATTTTATTTTTGCAGATACTGTTCAGGAATTTGACATATTTAAAAAATCAATCGAGGAAGAAAGAATAAGAACCCCTAATTAAAAACATAAGGGAAAATTAATTAAAATCATTCACAAGAATTTTTCAGGGTCTTTCCTAAACAACCTCTCCCTTCTGCCTTTGACCAAACGGACTGAAGACAACTAAATGCCTAACCAGTTTGTGACAGCAGTGAAGCAATCAAGGGCCTTAAGCAGTATGATGTGAGTCAGAACCATGACCCAGGTATTTCTTATTTGGAAAGCAGTTCTCCTCTTTCTTGGGTTTGTATTTACATGGGTGCCTAAAATTGTTTTCCATTTGGGAACCTCAGAGATTTGTTTTAACTGAGATGATGCATTTGTCACAGCAATTTGACTCTAAATTATTACTATAAGCTGGCATCTAGAGGTGACTACAGAATGTTGTTGAATAGCACAGCATCTTATATGGTGGTTAATTACACAGGCTTTGGCATTAGAAAGCCTGGGTCAAACTCTGATGGCAGCCACTTATCAGCTCCATGACCTTGGAGAGTTTAATCACTCAGAGCATCCAGTTTTCTTATCTATAAAATTATAATATAATAATTATCCTTACTTCATAGGAAACTGGAGATGATTAAATAAAACAATGCTGGTACCATACTTAGGCAAGGACCTGTCTGACCCAAAGTAAGTATTTAATACATGTGAGTTGCTTGTATTCTTATTATTATTAGTGGAAGATATCAGCACTTTTATTTTACAAAATAAAAAAAGGACCTATTGTTTTAACTTTAAGGTCTGAACATTATGTTAATTTCTAAGATCAGAATTTGGGCCGGAAAATTGATCTATGGATATAAGGTCACTCTGCAATGGGTTATAACTCAGAAAGCCATCAGCAGAGCTCCAGCTGACACTCAGCCTGAGATCTGTTGTTTGACAGGAAGCACTGCATTTCTTCTTGAAGAGCTCTAAGGATCCTGGATAAGACCCTTGCTCCACCTTGATGGAGTGACTAATTGTTCCTTACAAGGCTCTCTTCCACAAGTTTGATGCTTATTGCTCACTTATTTATGGAAATTAAATCTTTTCTTTTATATTTAATTCATGCTTCAGAGTTAGCAACTCTTGAATAAAGCAAATGGCTGGGGCAATATTTTTAAACTTAAATTTTCAATTTATGAGGGTGGAGTGTACATACTTTTTAAAACATTTTATTTTGAAATAATTTAAAATTTATGGAAAATTTGCCAAAAATGGTATAAAGAAGTTTATATCTTTCACCAAGATTTCTCTATTGTTAATATTTTACCAGTTTTACTTTATCATTCTTTTTCTCTATTATATATTTATATTTTTCCTGAACCATTTGAGAGTTATAGACCTAATACCCCATTACCCCTAGTACTTCAATGTAAAAATAAACACTCTCTGCTACATAGCCACATGAAATTAATGTTGAACAATACTATCACCTTCCTAACCCATAGAACCCATTAAAATTTTGCCAGTTGTCCTAATAACATCTTTGTAGTTCCAAAATCCAATCTAGGGTCATTTAGTTGTCATTTCTTTTTACCTTCAGTCTTACTATTATTACTTATTAGCCTCTTTGAGCTAGGTCCTATGTCCTTTTGACATGTCCTTATATTTTGAGTACTTACTTTCTGATATAACAAGATATTCTAGGCTTATCTGCCATTTCCCTGTCTCAGCCCTGGAATCAGTCATTTCTTTAAAGAGTTCTGGTTCCTGTTAGTGGAGAATGTTCTTTAGAAACCATGATCTCGGTGCTCATTGCTATTGGGGTGTCATTGCTTTCAGGCCCTCTCAGAAGACTAGGGAATATGTTGTATATGCACATACACACTCACATGTATATACACATACACATCTATCTATGTTAAAAACAATGAATTCACACTGATACCTTCAGTCTCAGTCCAACACCATAAGGTTTATCTTAGCCACTTTTACCTGTTTGTAACTTCCTTCTCCAACACTGAAAAATATGGCTACTATTAGCCTCAATGTTTGCTTAGGTAGTTAATACTCTTGTGTGTAACCAATGTCCTGACCACACAGGCTGTCTCTTTGGCCTTAGCCCCACTGACCATGCTAGCTACACCAGCCAAATTCTTGGCCCTGACTAAGGAAAATGGAAAGGGAAGAGATGGAATATGTGTTTTTCTTTAATTGAGCCTGAAATAGAAGTTCTGCTACTCAGTATAATATAAAGTGTTTTTTCTACTTAATTCTAATTCAAAGTTCAAAACAGACAAGTAAAACACCAAAGTGAGAGGTTCATACTCAATTGTTACAACTAGTGATTGACTTGGCAAGTGATTATCTACTGTGCTTATTCTTATTTTCAGAGACTGATATAATACCCTATGTAAGCCATGAAAGTCAATCATTTTATTGCATAATGGACAGATCTACTCATTTTAGTACAATCAATGTGCTTTATTAATGTGGGTGGAGATCCAAAGATCAGATTTTGAGATCTTTTGCCACCAGCTTACATTTCTCAGATTGCACTCACTTTTGATCAGAACTGATATTTGGGAATTCAGCATTTTAATATACTTAAACATTATCCTGGCTGGAAGTATATTGTATATAGTCCTTGAAGACTCAGTAGTTTGGATGATAACCTTGAGTTTGCTTAACTTGTCCTCAGACTTTTGTGATCATCAAAAATCCTCTGGTGCTTGTTAACAGTGCTGATCTCTGGGCCCACCTCAGAGATTCTGTTTCAGTAGCTCTGGGGAATGTTTGTCTGCATTTTAATGAGATCTCCAGGAGATTCAGGAGCAGGTGGGCAAGGGACCACAGTGAGAAACACTGGATTAGTGTCTTTTATTCAAGCCCAGAAGAGTTCTAAAACTGCGGTCAATCATTCCTGGTCATACGCAAGGTTGAATTGGCCATTAGGACCAACAACACTTTCATAATTAAACAAATCAGTGTGTTGACACTTGGCTGCCAACACCAGCAATTATAGGATAAATCTGTCAGTTTGTTCATCAGCATTCATGTGTCAAAGTCATGCTAGTGTGTTCGGAAGGGGTGGCACCAAAGCCAGAACACTGGTAGACCAAGCAGAGCTGCAGCAAGCTGCCTGCCCATGGTGCCAGTCTGATGGACAAGGCTTTCAGGCAGATCAGTATTGGGGTTTGGCTGGCTAATGTTCTTATTAAGACTGGGAAATGACTAGGGGCAGACTGAGGACATGTGATCCACAATACTTGGTTAAAGTCTCTTTCCTTTCTTTAGTTTTCCTCATAGAACAAGGACAGATGACTGAATAAATTATACTCTTCAGCAGAAAGAAGTCAAATGATCAGCCATCACTTATTGAATCAGCTACAGCGAGTGCTTTCCCAAAGAATATTGCATCATAAATCACCTGGTGGTTAGGTGACTTTATCATCACATTCCACAGATGAAGACAGGGAGACGACGTTTCACATAATCACACAGCTAGTAAGTGGTCAAGAAAAGTTATGACCCTTGGTCTTTTGTCTTTAAATTCAGTGCTTTGTGCAAAGAACACTCTGTTAGGCAATATTTTGTATTTTGACTTTGTTTTTCCTTCTAGGAGGTTGCTATTCAGGAAAACAGAGACCCTGTCATATATGAAAGTGTAGAATCAGTCCTGGGAGGAGGTGGAGTAAGATGACCTAATAGAAACCTCCAGTGATTGTCCCTCCACATGAACACCAAATTCAACAACTATCTATGTAAGCAAGCACCTTCAGAAGAACCAAAAATTGGATGAGTGATTATACTACTTGGTTTTAACACTGTATCAAGGAAAGAGGCACTGAAGATGCCAGAAAAGACAATCTTGAATTACTATACCACCCCTTCCCCATCCCCCAGCAATGCCATGCCATTACACCTAGGGGAGAAGGAATCTGTGTGCCTAGGGGAGGGAGAGGGACTGTGGGGTTTGCATTGAAATTAATGGCCACTTTGACACAGGTGAACATAGCATTAGGCAGAATTCTGCTGGTGCCTGTGGAGGGAGCATTTATACCAGCCCTGAAACTGGAGTTCCAGCTAGCCCACCAGTGGCTGCCAAAAAGTGGCCTGGGGCCTGGACTGAATTTGTAAGGCAGTCAGGCCACAAAGGCTGCAGTCCTTGGGCAATTCCTGCAGCTGTACTGGCTTGGAACCTGTTGACTGGGGGTGTATCTGACTCTAGGGGTGCATCAGACACCAGCTGTGGTGGCTAAGCCTGTGTCACCCTCCCTCTGCCTCCAGGCAGTACAGCGCAGGGAGAGTCTTCTTCCACTTTGGAAAAGGAAAAGGAAGAGTTCAGAGGACTTTGGTTTGCAACTTGGGTACCAGCTCAGCAACAGTAAAATAAAGTACCAAGTAGACTTCTGAAACCCCTGAGTTCAGGGCTTAGTTCCTAGACAGCATTTCTGGACCCACCCTGGGACAGAAGGAAACATGCTGCCCTGAAGGAAAATATCCAGTCCTGGCAGAATTTACCACCTGCTGACTAAAGAGCCCTTAGGCTTTGACTAAACATCAGAGGTAGCCAGGCAACAATCACTGTGGACTTTGGGTGAGACTGGGTCAGCTTCAGGTGTGACCTGATGCTGGTGGCCATGAGTGAGTGCCCACATCACTCCTCTCCCAACTCCAGCAGCCCAGCACAGAAAGTGAGGAAAGGGAGTGAAAACCTTTGCCTGATAATCCAGGGAATTCTCCTGTATCTTACCCAAGTCCACCAAAGTGGCACCACCAGAAGTCTGCAAGAGTCACAGCATTACTGGTCTTGGGACACCCTCAGAGCTGATATGGCTGCAGTGACCAAAGACTTAGATCAAAACACTCGGTTCCCTTTGAATATCTGGAAAGCCTTCTCAAGAGGGATAGTTTCAAACAAGCCCAGACTGTGAAGATTAAAATAAATACCTAACTCTTCAATGCCCAGACATTGATAGACATCCCTAAGCATTAGGAACATCCAGGAAAACATGACCTCACCAAACAAACTACATAAATTACCAGTGACCAAAGTGAGCATGATGGAGATATGTGACCTTTCAGACAAAGGATTCAACAGAGCTGTCCTGAAGAAGCTCAGTGAACTTCAGGAAAACACAGAGAAGGAATTCGGAAGCATATCAGGGAGATTTAACAAAGAGATCAAAATAATAATTTAAAAAAAAGCAGAAATTCTGGAGGTAAAGAATTTGCAAAACTGAGAAATGCATCAGAGTCTCTCAACAGCAGAATTAACCAAGCCAAAGAAAGAATTTGTGGGATTGAAGACAGGATATTTGAAAATACACAGAAATAAAAAAGAATAAAAAAGAATGAAGCGTGCCTACAGGATCTAGAAAATAGCTTCAAAAGGGCAAATCTAAGAGTCATTGGCCTTAAAGAGGAGGTAGAGAGAGAGGTTGGGGTAGAAAGTTTATTCAAAGAAATAACAATGGAGAACTTTCCAAACCTAAAGAAAGATGTCAATATTTAGGTAGGAGAAATTCATAGACCACCAATCACATTTAACCCAAACAAGACTACCTCAGGGCATTAATAATCAAGCTTCCAAAGGTCATGGGTAAAGAAAAAGTCCAAAGGGAAGCAAGAAAAAAGGAAAAATAACATATGTATAAAGGAGCTCTAATATGCCTGGCAGTAGACTTCTCAGTGGAAACCTTACAGGCCAGAAGAGAATGTGGTATGACATATTCAAAGTGCTGAAGGAAAAAAAAAAACTTTAACACTAGAATATTTATATTCTGTAAAACTATGCTTCAAACATGAAGGAGAAATACTTTCCCAGACAAACAAAAGCTGAGAGATTTCATCAACACCAGACCTATCCTATAAGAAATGATAAAAGGAGTTCTTTAATAGGAAAGAAAAGGGTATTGATGAACAATAAGAAATCACTTACTGGTAACAGTAAGTACACAAATACAGAATGCTCTATTGCTGTAATTGCAATAAATAAACCACTTATATCTTGAGTAGGAAAAATAAAAGACAAACCTATCAAAAATAACCACAATGATTTTTGATGGGTAGATAGTATAAAAAGATATGGATGAAAACAAGTGAAAAAGCAGAGGGGAATGAAGTTAAAGTGTAGAATTTCTGTTAGATTTCTCTTTGCATGTTTGTTTATAAGCAGAGTTGTCATATGTTTAAAATAATTGGTTATAAAATCTTTTTTGCAAGCCTCATGGTAACCTCAAATCAAAAAGCCTACAGCAGATACACAAAAAATAAAAAGCAAGAAATTAAAACACACTACAAGAAAAAAATCACTTTTAAATGAGGAAGACAGGAAGGAAGGATGGAAGGAAGAAAGATATGACCACAAAACAACCAGAAATCAAATAACAACATGGCAGTAGTAAGTCCTTACCTATCAATAATAACATTGCATGTAAATGGACTAAATTCTCCAGTCGAAAGACAGAGTGGCTGAATGGATAAAAAAACAAGAGCCAAGCATATGTTGCCTGCAAGAAACTCATTTTACCTATAAAACACACATAGGCTGAAAATAAAGGGATGGAAAAAGATATTCTGTGCAAATGGAAACCAAAAAGAGCCTCTAAGCGGAGGCAGGAAGATCGCTTGAGGAAGATCAGGAGTTGGAGACCAGCCTCAGCAAGAGTGAGACCATGTCTCTACTAAAAAAAAAAAAAAAAAATAGAAATTAGCTGGGCGACTAAAAATAGAAAAAATTAGCCGGGCATGGTGGCACATGCCTGTAGACCCAGCTACTCGGGAGGCTGAGGCAGGAGGATTGCTTGAGCCCAGGAGTTTGAGGTTGCTGTGAGTTAGGCTGATGCCATGGCACTCTAGCCCCAGCGACAGAGCGAGACTCTCTCTCTAAATAAATAAATAAATAAATGTGAAAATAAATTTAAAAAAGATCCTCTTCTGAAATAAAAATTATTTCATAGAGGTTTGTTTCTTTACATTTGTACAATAACAAGGACCATTTGGGTGACTTCACAAGAAGGGACTAACTAGGCTGCCCCAGAGGATTGCTGTAGGGCTCATCACTTCCAGTCTAAACTGCTACTTTAATATATACCCTCCAAGCTCCTTCCAGCTTCTCCCCCCCCCCCAGATTTCAGCCCCATTAGAGTCAAGGGTCCTTTTGTTCATGGACTTTGATAGCAGCACTTGTGTTCCCTGCCTCAGAAACTTGAAATGACCAATGTCTATCAGCTTGTAAGAACCAGAACCAGAAGGCAAACCAGATCTCCTGACTTCAGATTTCCTCTTTCCTCAGAGCCTGCGCAGTGGGTTTGAATGCACATGTGAGTGTATCGATAGAAGTGGTGAGACGCTAGACAGCAGCTGCACTTCTCCTAACAGTCTTCCCAGGATCCGTGTGAAATACTTAACTCAGTCTATTGGGACCAGCTCATGGTCACCTTTCCTGGTGCCCTGCAACTCAATTCATCCAGTCGTACACTGGCACAGCAGCTCCCAAAAGTCAGCGCTTTAGGTGGATATTGCAGAACTAATACTAAGAGTACAATAAGAAACATGCATACTCATCATTATATCTAATCCATTGCCAAATCAGGTCAGCTTTACTCCCTGAATGTCTCCATCTCTCCATCTCCATTGCCATCATTCTAGTGTAAGGCATCTAGTGTATTGCCATCACTGTTTCTTCAGGCTACACGTCTCCTAAATAGTCTCCTTCCTTCGTGTGCTCTGGTGCCCCCTTCCGTGCATTTTCCTCTCTGCATGCTGAGCTCTAGGCCTTCATTCTCGACTGTCTTACAACTGCTCTCTCCAGCCCCTGTACTTTGTTAACATCCACTTACATTTTAGATCTAAGCCCCGATGGGGGTCATTTTCTTTGGGAAATTGTCTTTGCCTCCCCAGGTTGTGTTATTTGCTTTTATTGAGATTTCTTCTTTTACTACACAGCATTTATCTCAGTTGATAACCAAACACTCATCTGTGTGACTACTGGATTAATGGATGTCTCCTCCACTAGACTATAAAATCCACAGGAGAAGGGGATACAGCTGTTTTTGCTCATTGTTCTCTGTACCTTGCACAATGCCCGATGGGTAAGAATTTGTTGAAAGAATAGTGATAAGAGGAATCTAAAAGGACACAGGAAGAAAATTGGTAGTTAAATTTTGCTTCAAATAGATTGAGTTAGACCTTGCAGAAAATTCCAAGGCAAATGCTCCCTAATTATTGCTTTTTTTTTTAAACAGAAAAACTCAGCTTCTCTCTTTTTTTTCTCTTCTCTTCCTTTCACAGTTCTCTCCTCCCATTTCTTCCTTCTATTTCTCCATAATTTCCTACCTCTCCTTTTTCATTTTCATAGAAACTTTATTATCTCAATGAACAAAGGCTATAAAAGAAAATAGAAGTTATTCTCTTTTGAAGGGCAGACTTCAGAAGATCTGAGATGCTCCACTAAAGTCTGAATTAAAGCAACTCCACCAGGGCCCCTAGAATCTCTATGTTTGTAATTACTCCACTGTTCTTTTGTTCTTTAAAAAAATTCTTCCATAGGTTTATTTATTTATAAAACCTTTTAATAGAAATTTTCAAAATTACATAGAAGAAAATAGTGTTATAAACTTTTAGGTACTCATCACCCAGTTTCAATGATTAATAACATTTTTCAAATCTTGTTTCACCTTTTTCCTTCCAATTTTTGTTGTTGGTATTGAAGTATTTTAATGCAAATACCAATATATTTTACTCATAAATAGTTTGGTAACTAACACATAAAGATTTTTAAAAATGTAACCTCAGTGTCATTATAACTCCTAACAATAATAATGCTTTCATATGATTTTTCATATAATATTTCCTAGCTCCTAGCCTATGCTGAAATCTTCTCTGTTGTCTAAAAATTGTCCTAAAATCTGTTTGTTTAGGCTAGGAGCAAACAAGGACTATGTATTGCATTGTTTCCCAAGTCTCTTTTAATTCATAACTATTCTTTCTCCTCCTACCTTTTAACTGTCATTTATTTTTTGGAGAAACTAAGTCATTTATCCCATACAATTTTCCATCTTCTATATTTGGCTGATTGCCTCCTTGCCCAACTTGTGCTTTATCCCCTGAATTTCCTACTAATGGTAGCTAGATGTCTAGACTTGATTAGATTTCTGATTCACCCTCATTGGCAAGAATAACTCCTAGTGGGTCTGTGGATTTCTTATTAATCATATCAGGAGTTGCCTCATTTTTAATGATTTTAAGATTGGTCAGCTGATTAGATTGTTAGGAGACAATTCTCCTTGGGGCTCTTGTGTTCTCTAGATCTTGCAAGAAGAGGCTCTAACTTCGCTTCGCATTATCTTTTCAAGGATACTTGTTAGTGAACAGTCTTGGAAGAAAGCAATAGTGTTTTCCTCTGGAGCAAGGGGCAGGCAAGCTTATATATAGTATAAAATATTAATATTAGAATTCCCTAAGCTCAGGATCCCTTTCCTCAAATGCATAGTGTACTATGTGTACACAGTCATCCCTCTTTGTGTACACAGTCATCCCTCTGTGTTGCTCTGTTAGAATTGACCCTTCAGGAGCCAGTGCAAAAATGATGGTCCCTCTTGCTACGTCTATTGCTATGAATAATAAGCTGTCCTTGGACTCTGTATTAGTCTGGGTTCTCCAGAAAAACAGAAACAATACAATATATATCTATATCTGCCATATATCTATATCAATATCTATGTCTCTATCTACAGAGAGAGAGAGAATCAAATTCTACTTGTTCATTGCTGGTATATAGGAAAGTGATTGACTTTTATATATTAATCTTATATCTTGCAACCTTGCTATAATTGCTTATTAGTTCCAGGAGTTTTGTTTGTTTGTTTTGTTTTGTTTTTGAGACAGGGTCTCTC